ACCAGAACCAGGGCTGTAGCTGGAGAGTCGGGAACTAGGGCTGCAGCAGGTGAACCAAGGACCAGAGCTGCAGCAAAAAAAACAGGGACCAGAGCTGCAGCAGGAGATGGAGTCAGAGCTGCAGCAGGTGGTGAAGGAATCAGTACTGCAGCAGGTGGTGGAGGAGTCAGGAGATCTGCAGCCATGAACCCCTCCGGAGGACTGGAGCGAGGACTGTCCACCTGGGTCTCCTCGCAGCATGGCAGAAGTGGATCAAGGTACATCGCCACCACAGAAGCCTGCCGCCGTTCCAGCTCCTCCAGCGAGGGAAGGCTAGACTGCTCCTCTGGCAAGTGGGGGCATGGATACCTCCCCCCCGGCGAAATTTTCCACCGTTCCACCGGCAACCGAGGGCTGGGCTTCATCCTCACCTGCAAAGCCCTCTCTTCTCTGCGCTGGACTCGTGGGGGACCAGCAGATAGCCCCTCTCTCTCAGACGATTGTCCGTGACAGCCAGGAAGAGAACTAGGAGGAGGTGGGCAGCGGGGTGCAGCAGCGAGATGGGTTGATGAGGGAAGAAGAGACGGTGAAGCTGAGGACCCAGGTTTAATGGCCAGACAGGTTACCCAGAACTGACACTTTTTTTCTCTCCTCCATTTCCTTATCACGGCGAGCAATTTTGTCCGCTTCACGGGCCAGAAACTCGAACAGAGTAATCATCCTCCTGCTGGGTTTGGAATCGGTTTCAGGATTCTATTGTGTTCTGCCATCAGAAGTGTTGAACCCAAGTGCAGGAGGATGACAGGAGGCTTGTGGAAAATCAAAGTATTTATTTTACAAAAAAAAAGCAAAAGTTGACAGGGCAGCATACTCACAGAAGAACAGGACACAGGATGGAAGGCAGAAACACACCATAAGGACAATCCTGAGACAAAAACTAAATATCAGTGAACTGAATATACACACACACACTGATTAGGACAATTACAGACACATGCGGTGATTATAACATGACACAGGTGAGACAGTGGCTGAACATAGGGAGGGAAAACACTGAGAGCAGAACTGGAAATATAAGGAAACAGAGACAGCACAAAACCCCAGAAACTGTACACCAATACAAAAATATAAAATAATAAAAACAGCAATAAGATCTAAGATACGAACTAAGAGAAACATTAACTAAAAATACTCTAAACACTAATAGTACAAAAACAATTCGCTGAACATCACTACGAACATGAGTCTGTGTGAGCAGCTGAGTACAAATTAAATCAGCAACATGATGTGATTTTTCACAGTGATTTTACTGGGTTTTTTTTTTCATTCATTCAACCTTTATTTAAACAGATAAATCACATTGAGCCTCCAAGACTCATTTACAAGTGAGATCTGCTTAGACAGACAAAAAATAGTGCAACTGGACACATAGGAATTGGAGGCAAAAAAAATCCTATTAAACTTTTACTTTTTGGCTGAGAAGAAAAACTCTAATATAAAAAAAACCACCTCGCACATACTAGCAGATAGTGACGTAGACATTCCGCAGAGGGGGGAGAGACGACAAGAGCGGTGAGCAATGTCCAAGGATGCACTCGAGGACACTGTAAGAGTTCTGATAAGGATGAAATAACCAACCATTTCCCTCCGGTGAGATCCGTGAACATTCTTGAGTGATGTCGTGGAATGGCCAAGGACAACGCCTATGGGAATCCAAGAGTCCTGAAATGATGACACAATGTTTATTCAGCTGTTTTCATCTGGATATCAGTTGGAAATTCCTCAATGGAAGCATCAGATCACATGTTCTCCAGGTGAATTCAGATAAGATGGCCTTCAAGGCCAGCAGGGGGAGCCAAATTTAGATAAACACACAGTTGTTTTGAGGACAGGCAGAACTTAATGACATCTATCTTGAGTCTGTATTGGTCCACTCGGGTTCCGAAATGTCCAAATTACGTGGCCACACCAAAAGAACGTGACTGAGTAAAATTCCTGAGATCTGATCCATTCTGCCCAAAGCATTTGAGTCTGGGTACTTGAGGCACAAACCAAGCCATCATAAGGCAAGCAGCATGATTGGGTCTGAATTTGCTGCAGACGACTTCCTTGTTTGTAGATAAACCAGCAACCAGCCAAATCCAAAAAGCAGGAACCAGTTATCATAAATCCAATTAAATATGTGTCCTTAAAATCCACAAATGGTAGCAGAAACAGACACATCATCAAGTCTTCCAAGTTGATGAGATATCCATCTGTGTGCATGCCAACAGGGCAAATCGGCTCACCTGTCGCCTGTCTTCTCTTCGAAGAAATGTTAAAAATTGTGTTGAGGGATCAACTGATCAAATAAAGTCCATAATTATGGTTCAGAAGATATGTAGAGAGAGGCTCAAAAGCAGTTTCACAGACAGACAGACAGCAGGTTAGAAATTCATGAGTGTAACAGCCTCAGGGTAGAAGCTGTTCCTAAGTCTAGTGGTTCTACACATAATGCTCCTCAACCTTCTGCCTGAGAGGAGCGGTGCAAAAAGTGTGTGTGTGCTGAGTGAGTGGAGTCATTCATTATTCAAGTGGTCCTTTTCCTGCATCTGGAGGTGTAGATGTCTGCGATGGTGAGGAGGCTGACTCCGACAGACTTCTGTGCAGCCTTCACCACTCTCTGCAAAGCTTTTCTTTCTGCAGCTGTGCAGCCTCCATGCCACACGTTGAGCTTTCTTGATCAGGCTGGTGGTGTTGTTGCTCCAGCTGAGGTTGTCATTCAAGTGCACATCCAAGTACTTGTAGCTGGAGACCACTTCCACCGCAGATCCTCTTATGTTCGGGGGGTGTAGGTGTTTTTGTTCCTTCTTAAGTCCACAATCATCTCCTATGTCTTCTTCACATTGATGTGAATGTTATTCTCTTTGCACCAGCTCTCCAGGTGTTCCACCTCCTGCCTGTAGCTGGACTCATTGTTGTTTGTGTTGCATCCCACCACCGCTGTATCATCTGCAAACTTTACAATGTGACAGCCTGGATGGGAAGGTGCACAGTCATACGTGAGCAGAGTAAACAGGAGGGGGCTCAACACACAGCCCTGAGGGGAGCCAGTGCTGAGGATTATGGTGGAGGAGGAGAAGTTGTGGATCCTCACTAACTGTAGTCTGTTTGTTAAGAAGTCTAGTACC